GGTTGGCTCTCTGGTCGGCCACGAGAACCGTGTCAGCTGCTTGGGCGTGAGCAACGACGGTACAAGCTTGTGCACAGGATCATGGGATTCTCTGGTAAGTATTTCTGATGCAAGGTTTCAAGATAAAGCATTGCTAACTTACATTCTCAGCTTAAAATCTGGGCTTACTAATTGTCGTTCGCGACTATGATACTATATGTCTGGATATATGAATGCCAGGACGTGCCCGCGGCCTCTATACCATCTGCGTTCGAACGACTATTTTGCCCATCGAATTCGAAAGCCAGAGATGCCCATCTTGAGTTCGACTATTAGCGAATGCAGGACGAAGTGACGAACCGCACCTTACCTTTACCACACATACCCCTACCAACGACTTTCTTCAGCCGGACGCGAGCACTCCAATAAGGGCTGCTAACTCGTGGTGGATTTGGGGAAGAAAATACACTGGCTGATGCGATACCTCTTTTTCATTACTATTTTCATTGTTCTTTTTTCTATTCCCTGTTTTTCTCGCACCTGCAACATTCTCTGCACCATAGTTTCCCCTTTTCTGACACAACCTGGGCTGTTAGTAATGGGTGGTTGTATTATTGGATGGGTTTCCTCTGTTGTTCAGTTGCCCTCTGTATGCGCATCGACTCTCAGCGGCACACACGTCTTTCGGTTCCGAGCCGTTTATATCGCAGAACGAATAATTACGGAGCCAAGGTCTGGAAAGCTGTATGGGGGATGATTTTTATATGAGGGGAATCCACAGGAGTTGACGGCTATACCGAGCAAAATTTCAGTCCTCGAGATAATACATCATGATGTTTCAAAACTAAGCGAACTTTCTCCCGTTTTCGATCTGACCTGAGATCTCGATCTCATTCTCGACCACTGTGACAACGCTTTAATCAGCTCAATGAAGAACGCAACTACGCTGTCCAGGGACGGTTAGTGGTAGGCCGGGTTGGCGACTTGGGCAATTCGGCTGTGTATCAACAAAGCAGCTCGGTAGAAGATTTCGCATACATAGGCTGCGATACAGAGGCAGTCATGCCCACCTACTGAGGCTATGCTATTGATGTTATTGCTCGATACCGGGTGGGGTTCTCTTACGCCGGGACATCTGCTCAACACCGGTTCTCTGGTATGTGCAGGTCAGTCAATAACTAATGTGCCATTGACAGACAAATTGAAGTCTAGTACTCTACTTGGCGAATAGAGGGAACAGGCTAGTCTTGAAGAGAACAAAAAGAAACGTTAGTCTAAGACAGACAAGGGGACTGGAAAGCTGTATAGTTCTTAAGCTATCAATATTGACTATATATCTATTAGCTAAGTGCCGTCTCGAAACGTGACCAAGAACAGAGTGCTGATATTGATGTATCTATCAATATGTATCCATGTGACTCTTCGTTGGAAGGATGACCTTGTTTATACTTACTGGTTTAACATTTGGCAGGCTTCTCTTTGCCATGACCGCCAAGCGTTGTATATACCATCAGCCAACATATGTATCGAATGTTCTCCCGATGAACCTTGACTTAGCCAATGGATTAATCGACCAGTTTCCATCCTTCCGCAAGCTCACTTCATGCCGGAAGCCGTCTCGGGGAAATGGACCAAGTGTTCATGAACTACAACGGGTAAGTTGGAAGAACAAGCCACCGACCTTGCTGGCTATTGTGTAACTGGCCCTCGGGATCGTCAACACCGAGTGCCGACAACGTTCACGCAACATCGTGCATGGCTGTACAGTCTTCAAAACCCTGTAATGATCTTATCCTTCTCAGGTTCGTCTGTTGGGGTTATGGTCTTGGAAGTTCGGACGCAAGTACGTTGGAAGCCAGCAAGCTGTCGCCTGACACTCACCGGGCACTCAGGCCATATAATCTTTTACCTACATACAGAATTAGCAAACACTTTCGATAGAAACACCATCGCGAGAAAGTATGTTACCTGCTTCATACGAGAGTTACACAATACTCTTGGTCATCATCGAGGACCTACAATAGCCAAGCACGCCACCTATCAAAGAACAAAAAGCCACATGGGTAAAGGATAGAATGACTTTGGCCTATGCGGGCATAACAAAGGATAATACGTCAATCGCAATGGTTACACAGATACGTAGCACGATACGTCACGGGACGAAGACAGGATGCGCTGTCAACCGATGCTTCACGACGTCCGTAGCTTACACTGGCCCGAGAGTTGTCGCGTCCACCGTTGCACATTACTGTCTTCCCTTTTTGGATGTTGAAGCTGCGCCAAGATCAATGCTGCGAACGATTTAGGCATGGGACGAAGATGAGATGGAGATCGCCGGTCAAGCAAGGTAGGTATATGCTGTCAACTTTAATGCATCGATGCCAAGGATATCATGTGTTGTTGTCAAAAGAAGGGACTGACTCCTGATACGTATGTAGTACCAGGAGCCATTGACTCGTGCAACACCCGTCAATATCATTGTTTAAGCAATCTCCAATGCTTCTGGAAGACTTCGGCGATGCCGAAGCATGGAAAGCTAAGCAGACAGCATTGACCATAGGGGTCCCCGCCAGCATCACCTGCTAATCTACGGTATTTAGGCGCTCATGACAAACTACTATGATGATGCTCTATGAATAGTATGTGTCGTATTGGGCTGAAAGCAACTTGTTAGCCTTGGACCCTTCGTTTGCTAGCCTTGGCCACGACAACGATGACGAGGCTGGGGAAATAAGAATGACTTGGTCATTGCTCGTGATGATGTGCATCAGAAGGATTGGAAACACGCTAGAAACCACTCATGGCGTTTGACGCGACCTTTGGGTTGGCCGAAGATTTGTTTGCCCGCTTGATGGCGCTGATATCGCGTTTGCCGCTATTGTCTGTCAAACTTGTGATCTGCGGATAGGCTATTCCTATGGGAGTAGAGTATGGATAGGTGAAGTATCATAACTCGGACCATCAGTCGAGACTTGTCAGCACGCAGAGGTGATGATCTTTGTTAGAGACAAACGGCAGAGCCAACATGTGACTGCCATGATGCTTCGCTTGTTTTGCTAATGCATTCTTCCATTCTCAGGTCGTAACAGAGTCTGATCGTACCGTCTTCATGACCGAGCTCAATCACCGATCGTCTTGATGGTTGCAACAAGTTGATGCGATCATCGTCATACACATCAACCTTTCCTTGGCAGGCGGGAGCATATCTTGGGGGATCGCGTGCCGCTACTCTCGGCTCGTGTTATTTCCTTGACCGTCTGTTCATGGCATGAATGATGAAACAGAGTCGTGAAACAAGTGCGGGTTGGTGCTAGTGGCCCTATAGTGTCCCCTGTCATTATCAGCCGTGAGGAACAGACTCAGGCAGCGAGAGGAGAGGAGAAGAATAAGCACAGAGAATGCACGGTTGATGCACGGAACCGAGCGAGGTCTGAGAAGCAACTTAATGAACTCGAGCGTTACTTGATCTTGATACTGCTTGCGAGATGATGCTATGATTTCTAGAATTCCCCGATGACTTGACTTGACAGGTTGTGGATGTTGACACTTTCTCAGCCTGATGGCCAACTTTACATATTCCTTGTCGATGAGAACTCTATTTGATTGGTCAAGAATGCCTGTCTTCATTTATGCCAGGAACCCGCGTGGCATTGCCGAATCTGTTTCTGGGTTGTCGCAGGATGGGATGCTTGAGCCCCAATGCGCCAAGGCACACAGGGCAAGTAGGGCACTTTATTCAATGCAATTTGAAGATCAGGTTCAGTTTGATGTGACAGATATTGATCTTGTGATTGTTTAAGTGCCCAATTCTGAGATCATCACTCTAAAATGTCTAACCACCAAAAAAAGCATCACCCTTATCCTCATCCTCATCTTTAGGACGCCCAACAATATACTGCAGTATTGTGATATCGCCCCTGAACAGCCGATCATCCACTGGTGCGACTGTGCTGCATCAATCCTCATTTCAGTAAATCCATTACCTTCCTGTGATTTACTAGTTGATGTTCGACTCTTCGGAGCATGTGACCTGATGCGGCTGGCCAGCGTAACGTCGTCCATATCCGGGCATGCCGACTATTAACAGACGTTTTGATGTCTGCATGTACGGAATGGATATACGTACTCCATTCAAAAACCGTTGAGAACCCTGGATCCTTGCTTAATTTGGGAGCTCTCTAGGCTCTCCACCCCTGACTAGAGACTCGCGTGGCTTGCTCCAAGATGGTCATTCTTGCAATCAATCAGTCTATGTGCAACAAAGATCATACAACAATGCATGCATTTCGGTTACAATCCGATTATCGAGATGCTTTTTAATCGCTTTCCAGGATTGTAAAGTCACAAGATCTGTAGCGACGCTGGGATGGAACTCCTTCAGATTAATAGAGATATATGTTAATGGTATTATCATCACTTCAACTCTAGTGTGATTGGCTCACAATGTACCAAACAGCCCCTAACAATTTCTATTTTCAGTCAATCTCTCGAGAATCAAGCATCTTCTAAACTTGAACGCCCTGTAACAAGCGCTCAAGCCCTGCTCCGCCCGAGTCTTGCGCCCACTGCCCGTTTCCAGGACAGATCATCAAGTGGCTCGACCGCAGTGCCTCTAATGTTTCTTGTCGATTACAAGGCCTTAACCTTCTAAAATGTCGAAGTCCTCCACCAAAAGTCAAGCCCTGAAACACACCAAGTCTCAAAAGGGGATTCGTACCCCTTCCACTTCCGCTGCTTCGTCACCTTCTTTTTACCCTTGGATCCAAGCTTTGCCTTCAATCTCACCGCCCTGTCCCTGTCTTCCTCACTCTGTACAGCATTCTCTAACTCGGATTTCGCCTTTGTGTGCCCTGTCCTCTTTACGGCCCCCCTTCTTAGCTGCTCCACACCTTCCAGAACGATACAGCACTTGTGTTTCCAACTCCTGCTCACAGGCATTGACCTTTTCCAACATTCTCATCTGTTTCGAGACACAACCACATACTTATTAAACCATTCCCCCTCCCCCCAGTTTGCCCATCATGTCAACTGCTGCTCAAGAAGAATTTAACGACCTGGTCGCCAAGAATACACACCGCGAAACCCTCCATCCTGAGGACCGTGACGACCCCGACTTCAAAGATTTAGACCTTTCAGAAGAAGACGTTTTCCGCAACGCTCAAATCGACAACGCAATGCGCATGCCTACTGTTGATCGCCTCACCGGCGCTGGCGCCTCTGAGATCAAGCTTCCTCCTGCCTCCTTCGACAGCAACCATGCTACCGGTGTCAAGGGCGTCATTGCCGACGCACGAAACTACGAAGCTGCCCGCAAGAACAAGTGGCGACACCGCGTTCGCACTGCCCGCAACAGCATCTTTGGAATTGAGGCTCCTGCCGCCGCCAAGAGTGACACTGAGAGCAGCGAGGATGATGCCAAGAGTGATGCCGACGAGGAGACATTCCTAGCCCAATGGAGAGAGAGCCGTCGACGTGAGCTTGAGAGTGAAGCCAGTCGATCTGTCAGGAACCGAAGAACAAGCCCTAGTGTCCGCATCTATGGCCGACTGGATGAGGTGGATGCTCTCGGATACCTCGATGCCATTGAGAAGGTTGGAAGGGAAACAACAGTCGTTGTCTTTGTCTACGACCACGAGGTATGTCTCAATCTTTCAGTTCTTTGAGTAATCTAGTACTAACTCGTCCCAGTGTGAGGTCTCTGCCACTATTGAGCAGGCTCTCTTGCCCATCGTCAAGTCCAACCCTGAGGTCCACTTCGTCAAGGTCCACTACGAGGAGATCGAGTTTGACAATGCCGCCGTGCCCGCAATGCTTGGCTACAGAAATCAAGGCGACCTATTCGCCAACCTGACAGGTCTGATTGAGATGATCCCTGATGATGAGAGCTTCGGTACTTCATCATTAAAACAACTCCTCCAAAAACACACTATCCTATAGTGTACTGGACTATATCATTTACATCACACCTCAAAATACATTAATGCGGCCACGTCTACGACACAACACTTGAGTTATTTCCCAGGGTTCCGATTCACATCGAAACCCTTGATTACGATACCCACACATGGCGATGAGTGACCCTCAGGGAGGGGATACACTCACGCTAGCCCTTTTCTTTTGTTTATATATCGGCGGAGTTACAGTGCGGCAAAATGGACTGCTGGATCACTGGTTTATGTTTTCTTGCATTTACGCGAACAGAAGAGTGTATGAGTACATTGCAATGATGGCGGTGCCTTTTTTCATATAGACTTTGGATTTACGCACAGAGATACCCTTACTACCTTATGTGGATATGTCGACATCAGGATATTTGGGCTTGATTTGATAACCTTTCTGATATCAGAAAGCAAATGAATTTATAAAAGTGCTCTACAAATATTTCTCTCGATTCCTCAAATATCTGTGAATAATCTTGGTAATCCAATCCGCCGTCTATTTACTCTGGAAACTGGAGAATCTGATGTTATGACCTACCCCAATGCTGTTGCACTTACACCCATTAGCCATGCTCGCATAACTCAAGAGTGTCAACTTAATATTGTTGACTCGAAGCATAGGAATGAGAAGCCACGAGGAAGTTGACAACGTTATGCTGCTGTATTACACACTCTCTGGTTTGCAACAAGTACTGCTGGGATTTGAGAAGGGAGCTGTGCAAGAACGACAATTAACACTATGGTATGGGTCCGTCTCCACGCTTATCACCTTAAATACGGCAATGCAAAGAGCGGAGCAGATTGCCGAGACTGTGAGACATAAAATCACCCAAGAGATCTATCAGTATAGTTAAGGCTATATCAATCAGAGAGTTGAGAGTTGACTGGGCTTATATACGATTCTGTTGAGCTCAAGCTCGCCTAAAGCAGCAATGGAACATTGGTTTGGACTTTTCAGGCCTTCGCCATAACCAAAGCATCAATGTTATCGGCCATATACACTGGACCGTTGTCTTACGTCATTCCACCTATTATATGCGTCTGTCAGAACTGCACCGCATGGTGGCTGTCTGTTCCATTGCTATTGGATTTTGGGTTTGATACACGTAGGAATAGTCAAACCATGGCGGTGAAGAGAACTTTGGAGTGAGTCAACTGTCTGGTCTAGCTTCAGAACAAGAGTGAATCTCATGTCATTAAAGATATGCATTTTTTGCGCGGTTATTGAGTCTCAGTCACTCAAGTTTAGACGTAACATGTTCCAGACAGATATCGGAAGAGGTTGCTCACGAGGTCTAATAAAGAGTGGGTTTATTTGAGCCCGAAACAGCCCTGGAGCAGTCTCATTTACCCCGCAGTTGCGCTAAGAGGTCACGACGGCTCATGGTGGGGGTGCAGGGTGCGATAGCGGCATGCAAAGCGATAAGACAGAGAGGGACATTTAGGAAGGAATATCTAGACGTCACAGTATCAAGGATTCTATATGACATCTAAATGAATTTATGAGTCAGAGAATAAACTCTTGTTCAGAATCATTTTGTTATTATTTGAATCTTTGTGGCTCTGAGGATAAATCAAGATATCAAATCCTAACCTTGCCAGCTCTGGGCATCTGTCCCTATCTGATGGGGCGTGAATTGCATGGATCCTCATCTCTAGTGCAAGCAGGGACCCCGGTTTAAGTGACGACAGCAGGCAGACGAAAGGTATGAAACACTATAGATCATATCGACCTTGAGGGGCCATGAATACCTACCTAGATAGTAGAAGATCTATCATAATATTATCGAACATATTATTGAAGAACCTTTGATGCTGCAAATAAAGTCGTCCGGGGATATACTAGACCTTTAAGTTCAGTGGGCGAAAGTGGCGTTTCAAAGGGACACCTGCAGCTGAAGCTCCAAGTGATCCACATTGCTGTAATGTTGTTTGAATGTGATGTTAATGTGCACTTCACTGCCTGCCTTATTTCAACCATCTCCTCAAACGCTGCTTTCCTCTAATCTCCACCTCTTCACCTTCCTCGAGCTCATCTTTCAATTCCGAATTCCCTACAGCAATCATCCTTGACTTGCAGACAATCATTTCTCGACCAAGCCGAGGCCAAGGGTACGAGACAGGCAGCTTGTCCAAGTACTTGAGCAACGTGGAAACGTCGAGCTTATTCTCACGAAACAAACTCCCGACTGTGCGCCATTGTAGGTACCTACCTGCCTTTGAATACCATATCAACGAATGCAAATCGGAGGCTTTGGATTTAACTTTTTATCCTCAGTAACGCCCCCCGCGTCTCGACTTTCTCCTGCATCGGCAGCCAGCTTTTTGCCCAGCTTCATCTTCCAGCCCCAGGCAACCAAGGGACAAGACGCCTTCACAGTTCATGGCACAGACCCTGGAATAACTACCTGCTTTGCACTGACAGCGTGTATCGAGGCCCAATCTTGATCCCCATCTGGTACAGTAAGTTATTTTATTCGCTCCGTCCTCTGCATATAAATCCAAACCCACATACTGTCTGTCATCCTTTCTTTTCAACCTCGTTCTCTTTGACCATCTGGCCCGCATCAGGAAGGCTTTCCTCTACACTTTAGACCACGCAAATAAAAGGCCCTGGGCAATGCTGGGCTGAGCTGCATAGCATAAAGTTACCCATCAACCTTCTTTCCTGTCTTATGTTCTCTGCGGTCATTTTCTGATACCTGAAAGCTCCCAGGCTGCCTATTTATACAAGAATCTCCCCCGCCATTGCACCATACGCAGACGCCCCCTTCCCCATTATCCGGCCTTCCGCTCACCCCCTCGCCTTATCCTACCAACTCAGTCTCTCTTGCCCCTCGCAATCCGACTTCACTTGACACCTCATCGTATTATCCCAAGAGGCCTGTGATGGAATAGAACCTCTTCTGCTCTATTTCGTCTCGTTATGGAACAGCAGGATCTTGATATTCCCTGTACTCCCACTGCTCGTGTTACTGAACACCGATCGACTCTCCAGTCCCCATCGTCATCGCCCTCGACCTCTTCGCTTACACCAGCTCCCCAGCGACACGCTACGACTCCCTCTTCTCGCCCGACAACGCCAGCGACGGTCGGTTCAACCGTAACCTTACCAAGAAATCCTCTGTCGACTTCCGAGCCTACTCTACGGTTTCCTCGCCCTCAAGGCAATCGACATCTTGCCAACTGGATTTCATCTAGTAATCCAGATATCATGCGCTTTACCACCACTACCGAGGACAGTGGACTGATGTCCGAGTCCGAATATGAAGTAATCTCGAACGATACTGAGTCCCAGGATGGGAACTACACCGAGTCTATGGGCGAGTCTATCGGCTCTTTGGGGCTCTCCCGTCCCGACGACGTACAAAGCCACACCGGCACCGAACAGACCTACGATGACGAGTCTGTCACCGACGAATGCGATATTCCCAGCCAGCAAACCCATCAAGAAGAGCCTGATGATATTGTCGACTCCATGGAGCCTGAACAGACTCCACAAATACAGCAAAGCTGGGCTTCAGTAGTCAAGAATGGGCCTCTTCCCGAAGTTGAGGTTGAGCCTGAGGTCGAACCCGAGGCACAGCCTGAACCCAGCGCTGAACAGGAACCTGAATCAGAAGATGAAGCCCGATCCAGAAGCTCTCTTGAGTATACTCAACAAAGTCTCAAGACCCCCTCGATCCCTAGTCCCGACGCTAGTATTACAGAGCACAAGCCTGATCAAATGCTTCTACCCACTGGAAACGAAGAAGAGGCGGAGACTCGACGATCAGCACTCAACAAGTGGCTGAAAGAGACACAGCATCCTGTATCTAAGAACAGAGAGACAATCATCAAGAAGGTCACCAGTCCTTCTACGGTATCTGCAGTGCTTTTACTCGTCTTGGTCTCGCTGATCAGCGTATTCCTCACTCCACTCTCGAGAGATGCGGCTCCCCACATCCCCGCAGCCACTTCCGCTGTCACGAACCACCCCACTCTCATAAACTCCTCGAGTCGAAGCTCCTTGCCAACTTCGCAGGCTCTTACCACATCAATTGGAGGTTCGGGACTTATCCCTGTTCAGGATGCACCCGCCAACGATTGGCCATGGAGCAGCCAGAAGATCAATGTGACTGTCGAAAGATATGAAGGTAACTTTCTGCTTCGCATGCCTCGAGATGTCAAGAAATCATGGCTTGACAGAGATTGTCTCAACTTTAATGCCAAGCGTGGCGGAGAACATGTCCGATTCGGTACCTCATCAACAGACGAGGGCATCGTCCTCAAGATCCCCAAAGAGGAAGCCCATGGAATGGTCAAGGTTGACATGTATACTACTTGCCGCCCAAGGATTCACAAAGTTCTCAGAGTTACATTCGAGAAGGGTATCATCTCGGAGGCTTTGGATCTAACTTGGTCATTTGCGCAGCGTGTCCCAGAGCTCGTTCCAGCTGCTGCTCAAAAGGCAGAGCGACGCCTCGAGGAAGCCAGACGCTCACTAGAGACAGCTTCTTGTAACTTCAAGACCACGTCTGGCACTTTCTGCAAAGATCTTGGTGTCAAATTCCACGATGCCCACCGGTCCTTGGGCTGGATTAAGAAAGATATTAAGTGTCGATCTCAAGCAGCTAAGCACGGCATCTCGGCGAAGCTAGAGTCTATCGCAGCTGATGTCAAGCAATACATCCCGAGCACTGAAGCTGTGCAGAACAGAGCCGAACTCGAGTTGCTCAACGCACAAATTACGGCAAAGCTGTGGTGGCTCAGACTGACGGCGGGCGACGAGGAACATGACCGTTACGAGCGCGCGGCCGAACAATTCATGACCAAGAAAGTAATCAAGCAACTGATCAAGAATGAGTATGGTCGACAATCTGCTGCCAAGGCGCCAGCTTCTGCGAAACTCAGTCGCTTTTGGTTGTGGTCTGATGACTTCAAAGATCGTGCAGAACGACAGAAGGCATAGTGGTACCAAAACTGCATCTTTTATTGACGGCGCAAGGGACTTTTCTCTTTGCCCACTATCACTCGTGGCACATTCGTGCTAAGGAAGAATTTGGGTTTATATTCGGGTATGGGTTTCTAGGGCACTGGTGGATTGGAGTTCGTGGGGTCTCATACCATTTGTAGACGTGTTTTCTATTTGCTTCTATCGATTTTATATCTTCTATTCCTGCAATAGTCAGTGTTGCTGATGAGCCCTTTCTGTACGTTTTGGAAGCTGTGAGTGACATCAGAGCAAGAGGGAATTTGCCCGATCAGACTCAAAAGACGACACAACTTGCCACATGCAACATCAAGCCGATGCATTCTTTTTGTACTTTAAGCTTAGACGATACCGTTTGTAATACTATGGTGGCTTGTTGCTAGCAAAAGGCTCAGGGAGAACGGAATGAGGCCAGCACAGTAGTTGATCACTAGTAGTTGAACCCATCTCATCTCATGAGTCGTTGTGCTTCTTAGTGGAAATGACCAGAGGCCAGTCTCCTAGCAACGGAACCAAACAGTTGATACTGTTATGAATGATGCAAAGAAGCTTCTTATGAAGAAAAATTATGACTCAACACGATGGATATGAAGCCAGTATTCGGGGAAATGAGCTCGTGATGGATTATTGATCCCTTCTATATTCCCTTTTGGCATCAATTTGACCAACTCTGCAGTTGACATTGTCATGATACCTCCGAATCCAGTTTGTTGCAGTCCCACTTGATGAGTAACCCCACAACCAATCTTGGATCCTTGTTAAGTGCCCGACAGCACCTGCTGCAAAGTACCTGCGCTACTGGGCAACAGAAAAATGGTCCCCCAAGCCCTTTGGTCGCCATAATAAGGTAGACTATTAGTCAATGCAGTATAGTATTAACTGTTCGAATTATTCTGTTCTCTGGGCTTTCGACGGTCATCTTTACTCTGTGAGGTACTTATCCACAGATGGAGGCCATCCCCAATCACAGGTCAGTATTTGTTGATCTTCGCCATGCCTACGGAGCAAGAGGCTACCGGGAGGCAGAAAAATTGTCCTGCAAGGCTTGGGATGCCAAAATAAAAGGGTCTAAGTATGCATCGAAATAGGCATCAAACGACTAAGTTATTTCGTCTCTTGTACTTCAGACAGCCAGTTTTTCTGCTACCCTGACCGCAGGGCACAACAGGGGAAAAGGAGGGGCAAGCTGCTCATATTTTTTCAGGCGGGACGGCAGCCTGACAAGGTGAAAACAACCTAATCACCAGACCTTGACCGCAACCCACTTCCACCATCTACCATCATCACATAAACTTTCAACTCCCTTGCTTCCCCGAAGCATCTTCATAACCACATTTCGCTTATCTGGTAAGTTTAGTGCGCCGTTGCTTGTACTCAACTTTTGCTTTGTTTTGCTCTTCCTTTTTTTCTGATGTGCATTTTACTACGCTGGGGGGCAATCATGACTCTGAGCCCCTCCTTGAGGAGGGGTAAAAGCCATGACCGCGGGACTGGGATCCTGGACATGAAATGCTGACATCTGAGGGGCAATAGATTAATTCACAACCGATTACACTAACCGTCAAAATGTCTGCTTCCGAGCCCACCGAGCCCAAGGTCGAGGAGACCAAGCCTGAGGAGACCAAGCCTGAGGAGACCAAGCCCGCTGAGGCTGAGGGCAATGCTGAGAAGCCTGTGATTTCCTCCTCCGTCTTCTCCATGTTCGGAGGTGGTGCCAAGAAGGAGAAGAAGGAAGAGGAGGAGCGTGGTGACAACTCCGGTAGCGCTAAGGCTCAGCGAGAGGCTGCTGAGGCTGCCAAGGGTGATGAGGTATGTTGACATGTCTCAGCATGGCATGCTGTAGCGGTTCCCATCGAAACGACTGAAGCTGACCATGTTCTCTTATATAGGAGGAGGCTCCCGAGTCCGAGGACGTCCACTTCGAGCCCGTCATCAAGCTGACCGAGAAGGTTGACACCAAGACCAACGAGGAGGCCGAGGAGCAGACTTTCAAGATGCGCGCCAAGCTTTTCAAGTTCATCAAGGAGAGCAGCGAGTGGAAGGAGCGTGGTACTGGTGACGTCCGTCTGCTCAAGCACAAGGAGAACGGCAAGACCCGCCTGGTCATGCGCCGCGACAAGACCCTCAAGGTCTGCGCCAACCACTACATCGTCCCTGAGATGAAGCTCTCCCCCAACGTCGGCTCCGACCGCAGTTGGGTGTGGAACGCTGCCGCTGATGTCAGCGAGGGTGAGCCCGAGGCTGTCACCCTGGCTATTCGATTCGCCAACGCCGAGAGTAGGTTTTACCTGTTGATGTGCGTGCCTATAGAACCTAATCACTAACTTGTGCTCAGACGCCAACAACTTCAAGGATTCTTTCATGAAGGCCCAGAAGGAGAACGAGGAGATCTTCAACAAGGCTGGTGAGGCCGATGCTCCCGCTTCCTAAACGGCTGTTATTTGCGAACCCTTCCCGACCCCCTGCCCCTTCGGAGTTCGACCTGGATATCGTCAAGGGCTCCCTCGTTCGTAGCCCTGTGATTCTAGGATGAAGTTTTACTCCAACACTCCCACCACGCATGCCACAGCATCAAGCAAGCACCTTAATCGTTGCAAATGCTTGAAACCATCATAAATACGCATCAACATCACCATACCCCGCCACAACACCACATCCCAAGTTCGTTTTTAAGATGGATAGATAGAGATTCTTAAGGACAGAGAGGTTTATTTTGAGGTGAACTGTCCGAGTTCAGCCCCAAGGCGGATTATGGATGGATGGACGGATGGATAGTTAGCAGCATAGGAACATCAACACATAGCACCCTCTGTTAAAGAAGTAAAAGAAAAAAATTCCATAGATTTATGATGCCTTTTGTTGTAAGCTACTTGGAGTGAATGTCTTATAGGTTGATCAAGGATCAGATTGTGGGTGATATTCATTTGTGGCGCAATCCATAGATGTGGCTGATAACCATCGTGTTTGGTGTTTGGCTGATGACTTCTGTATTTGTGTCAAGGTGCTGTTCATTATGAGTATGGAAGTTTTGCGTTTCGAAATTATACATAGCATTTCGTAGATGTGTCTTGAACCTGTGTATAGTTGCTTGTGTAGACAAATGCTTCAACAGGCGCTGCTTGCTCGCGTTCGGGACGTTGACGTATCACAGCTACTAGCTTTGATGAAGACCGTTCCGGGGTGCCTAAGTCAGTTGTAATAGGAGTGGTAAGAAAACGGAATTTTTCGTGATCGTATCTTCTGCTTTGATATATCTTCACGTCATTGCCATATCGTTCCAAAGACGAAAGGGGCCATGTCATGGTGCATTCGATTATGGAACCAAGGAAAAAGCACAAAGCTCAGCGATAGTGGCTGGATAGTAGCGCGTAGTGGAGCAGTGATTCAGCGTGTTGTGCCCTGGAAGCTCCCCAAAAGGTGCAGAGGTAAACGGTAAACAACCTAAGAGTTCATGTCCGCCTTCGTCCTTGTGAAAGCTGACAACCTAGTCCCTTTCTCTTTATTAAAGCTTCTGCATCTCTTACCACTCTAAAGTGGGTTTGTCAGAGATACATCAACTTCCGTGTTGTGTGTGTAGCTGCCTCAACTGTGGTTCCCCTGGCACTTGGTTTGAAGCTTGGCCCTCTTGTCCCATCTCGTCCATCGATTGCGCCTGCCCTGGGGCTGCCTGCGCCTGCACTTACGCCTGCACTCCAGTCTCCAGCCGCCTTCCTTTCCATTCTGCCCCCCGTCCAACCAACCGTGGGACTGGGACTGGCCTCTGCTTTCCCTCTGTCTGTGTCCGTTTTCCGCCGTTTCCCATCCATTCCCGTCCATTTCATCCATTGTAGGAATTTGTCCCCTTGTAACCCAATCCAAGTCATTCTTCTTCATTATCACTGTGTGTCTTTTGTGTATCCACGACAATCCTCTTGTCAGCTTCTCTACCCTCAATTCTCTACTGTTCCAATTGCTGTTTTTGATCACCAGAAAAGATGTTGGTTGAGGTAAGTCAAAAATCGCAATCCTTCACCTCGAATCGCCTTGCTGGTTCGATGTATACACCATCCGCTGCCCTTCTTTCTTGACTGTATTTGGCTATGTTATGACTTCACTTTCGCCTCCCGCAGTCCGCGGCTTTCTTTTGCTTGAGCGGCTCTTTTGGTTGATGGTTGCGGTGTGGTTCTTTGTTTGCTTTCCTTTAGCCCTGCTTGACACTGACGTGTGTCGCGCGGTGAGTGAGGCTCTGCAAAGATTGGTCGCGGTCTGTTCGTGTTTGTCTACATACATGCATACATCCAAATCATATCTGCAACTGCAACTGCCAGCGCAGTGCCGATGTCAGTGACAGGCGTTGCGCGTTTGGGTCGGACAGCCAGAAGTAGGCAGCCATAGATGCCCATGATGGCGTTTGACCTGCCAGCTGCAACAGTGATTCACGCACTGCTCGCGACGGCATTCAAATCTGCATTACCTATCTGCCTGCTTCATCTCGCATTTCTCTACGCGCTTGTTTAATGCGCGAGCTTCTGCTTCATCACCACCCTCGTTTATTCACCCGTTCTGTATCATCCACTGTTTTCGTATCTTGTTCACGGACAGCACAAGCGCCAGCGCGCTATCCTTACTCTGTTGCCTTACATGATACTCTGTGTTACCGTGAAACTCTACTACGCACCTTTCCACGTCGCCCGAGAACTGTGCACGCCCAGGACTCATCATCATGGCTCCGCGTAGTCGAGCACCACCTTCCAGCCGCAAAGTGCTTTTGAAAAACTCTAGAAACGACACTAATATCCGACTTCAGCGCAAAGTCAAAGTTGTTACCGAGCAGCATGTCATGTAAGTTTGCGCCTTTACCTTCCGGCGGCTTCGCTGCTCTTTCCAGTCCGTGAGGATCGTACGGCGTTCTTCATCAAGATGAAACGGGTCTACGAAAGGATACAGTCGGCGGATCTTTGCATACTAACGCCCATATTCTTAGCGACAAGCCCTCGCCAGTGGAGCAATTCCCTATGCGGGAATGGAGTTTAAAGGTGTTCCTCGTTGATGAGGACGGTAACGAGCGTCCCGCCGATGTATTCACGAAGGTTGTCTATAACCTGCATCCCACGTTCGAGAACCCCGTCCAGAGTAAGTCCAATATTTATCACAATGATCGCAAGGTCAGAGATGCTGACGAGTCTGTCCTGTTTGACAGGTTTCACAAAGCCCCCGTTCACATGCAAGAACGAGGGATGGGGAGAGTTTGAAATCTCTATCGACTGCTACACAACCGAGAAGACAAAACTAGCACCAATTATTCATGACCTTAACTTCCACCAAGAAAAGTACGATCAGACGCATACTGTCACTTTCAAGAACCCATCCCAGAATTTGCAGGAGCGCCTGCGCGAAACTGGTCCTCTCCCCACCGACGACGATCACCGTCCCAAGAAGAAGGGTCTTGCTACTAAGAAGACCAAAAACTACGACTACGAGAAGATCGCCGAATCCCTGGAGAAGCTTGAGGAGGAGGATCTGCTCCGTGTTATTCAGATCATCAATGAAAACAAGGGGCCAGACACCTACATAAGAAGTGATGTTGAGGGTAAGTTTCCAATCCCGTGTGTACGAATGTACTACCACTCTTTCCGCCATGCGCGCTACCCCTCCATGACCTCCATATTCTCTTGTTTCATTCATACACCCTCCCTTATCTTTGCATTGAAGTTGATGTATATGGTGGCTAATAGTGGATGACTTGGTTAAAGCCGGAGAGTTCTCCATTGATCTCTACACCATGCCAGACAGCCTCACGTCGAAGCTTTGGGACCATCTCGTAAGTTCCTCCCAACGTCAAGACGTGAAATCGCCAATTACTAACCACAACAATTCGGTAACAGTCCAAGAAGGGCCTTGTCAGCTAGATCTTCTAGCATATCATAATGTCAATACCCCCAATGTTGTTCGATTGACAATGGGGCCTACAGTTTGCGCTTAGGAGTTGCTTTCAGTTGGGAAAATGACGAGTTAATGTGTACGAAGGAAGAAAATGCAGAGGAAAGAAGGATGACCGAAAATAAGAAATTTGAGGTCTTGGTCATCGAGTCTATAAAGAACTCTTTTTTTCTCGCTCATTTCTTATAAAAGTTTTGAATTGGTGATAACACTCTCCTCTCGAGACTATCCCTCAGGCCATGTGATGTAACGCCGTGCCGGTAGATCTGGTGTGCGCTTAGACAATTCTCACGGAGGGAGTTGAATGTCGGTGCCCGGAGACGGGCATGTGAAAAGAGATCAGCCAATAATATCATGGCTTGGCCCGGCCTCGACCGGTCAGCTTCACGGGCCGGATCGATCAGACATGTCGGATCGAAAGTTGAGAGACTGCCGCTTCCCCTGGGCGGATGTAGCCAAGTCCCGTGAATCCAGGTGCATCTATTGCTCGGCTTCAGGCATCGGGCTTACTGATATTGGAAGCCGGTTACTCTATACATGCTGTATGTAACCTTAAAAGTACGGATCTGTCTGTTGGGAAACTATTCTCTTGCGATCTAGAAGGGTAACAGCATGTGAAGCTGGCTAGTTGTAACAGTAACAGGATGGGGGAACTGTGTCTCGGACTGGCCTGCAAGTTTTGAGCAAGTTTTCGATCAAGTCCACTGGCCAACGCTCAAACTCTCCAACATCTTTCGACCAAATACCTTCTCTTAGTGCCTCGTGGCCACATTGGGTACCGTGAGACTCAGTGACATAACAACGTATCCAGAGTATCACCTTGTGTTTGAACGTGAGCGGGGACCTACCTTCATGGTCTGAGCACAGGTTCCTCGGCAGTAACGGGGAGTTGGATACAGTGGAGGAGGAAGATAAGGAAGCGAGGGGCCATCCTGCGTTGTTGTTACGTACGAATGCCGGCAGGGTTGCAAGGATATGGAAAGTTTACATGATGGCGCTCAATAGGGCGTTGGTAGTAGCTATAAGTGACTATGGATTGATCATTTCTAAGAATTCAACCTCTTGACCCTCGGACCGGCTGTTCTACAATAACTATCCGGTTCCTTCTCCGGGCCGGAGATGTCGGAGGACGAATCTTTATATGTATAAATAACGGTTGATGCAAAACATCCAGCCACAAGAAGAACGGCATTGAGGTGGTTGCAACTTGGCATTGACGAATTAGAAGAAAGCAATGTATGTCCTACTATGCGGGGCGTAGACTAGGAGGTTTTCTAAAGAGCCAAGACGTAAAACCATGCACGATGTGTAGTAGGAATAATTTGGAGCTGCATGTCTTTTTTATGTCCTTCTTGATCTAGATAGTTCTTACGCGATAAGTATGTAGATATTGAAAAGTCTGATAGACGGACACGGCACGACACGTATGCATATGTCAATCTTGACAAAGAGGAGGCGTCGTCAACGTGACATGCGCCTCAGACTTGGCGATTGGTTGTGTGGTAACTTCAGAACGGGAGGGGCGGACCTGATGCATATTATAGTGAGGCTACAGAATTGGACTCGTTGATGGAAGGCTTGTCTTGCTTGTGCTCGGACAATAGATTGTGTTGACAAAGTCTCTATTGGAAATAAGCATTGTAGGCTCAAGTTATGGAAGTCCTGATAAGACTTTTCGGAGTTTATTCGTGGGTGGCAGATCATATCAGAAATGTCACTTATTTAGGTAGGCTAAGACTTTTGGTCCTTCTGATGGCTGCAGGCCCCTGGTTCACTCGATCGCCTGCAGCGGATTTGCAGCAAAAGGATATCAAACCTCGGGTGAGCCAATGAGGCTTAACGTTGATTATCGAGTTGCCTGTCTCGGGATAACGTGAACTTTTGACTGACTGGGTTCTTTTGTTCTATTCTTCTAGACCTTTCATCTCTATGCCATTGAAAACTCTGAAGACTCTCTCGACTAAGTTGTTGGATCCAATGCATTCGGGGATAAGGAATTGATTAGGAAGGTAATCAGTCAAGACGGTGAGCATCAAAGGGAGTTATGGCTATGCTCGTCGAAGCTCTCTTGGCGTATCAGCTAACAAGCTCGCTACTGACAACCACCCATGGCAAGGAGCTGATCTCGATTGGAATGTCTATGCAGTGTTTGTAGGCTAAGTCCAAGGTAAGTTACTGTTGATTTCCAATACGTAAGGCATCACATTGACAAGGTGTCACCTGATAGTTGTTGGTGTGTACTACGCCTCTCGAGTGGTTCATGACAACGTGTAAGAGCTGTTGGACAAAGGGGACATGAAAAACAACAGCAAGACTCGTGACCTTCCTTTAGAGAGGATTGAACCTATCACGTCTGTCCCAGCTTTACCGATACACGTTTGCTGCATGTTTCACCCCCAGAATAGACATGGACAAGGACATGACAGCCTAAACGCTTCTTGAGTAAGAGAAAGGGCAAAAAAGTCTTACCCCAGGCTTTTTTAGTTTCTTTGGACTCTGATGATCGCCTTGACCAACGAATTCCCATTGAATTGACTCCTGCACTGGCCACTTCCGGCGGTCGAGTCCCAGTCCTTAGTAGTCCCCCCCGCATCGAGTACCTCGATAGAACGGATCCATTCAGATTCTTCCACTCGCTCATTCTCTTCCACTTCCCTTATCAAACCCAACCGGGGTATAGTACGTACTAGTTTTATAACAATCACGCACAGGGCACTTCGAGTCAAAACCCTTGCGCCGGTCTCTTGGTTCCATCATTCCCAAGCGGTCCAGAAGAAACTCCAAAAAGGACCTCCATCCCCCCCAGTCCGCTTCTCCTCGGCCCGCGCTCTCATTCACTTTCCCTCCCCGAACCGCCGCAAACCGAAACGCGACATCATAACTTATCAGCCTTATCTTTTTTTATCCGTCGCGTCCAATTTTGAGCCTCTTCAGCTCTTAGCTGAGCTCGTCCGGTTTCAGCACGGCGACGTTTGACGTCGACCTCGACGCCGCTCCCCGCGCCGCCCAAATTCGGTCATCGGCCAACCGAGTCCGTCCGTCAACGAAATCCTACCTCCGATTCTTGTTAGACATTGACAATGGCCCCGTACGGCGCTGGCCAGCCGGCCTCCGGGGCCTCCGACTCAAGTCCTGCCGCCTCGATTAACAATGCTGCGCAAGGTTCTGCGCAACAGACTCCTGGGCAATCGGGTGGAAACGCTGCGCAGAACTCCCAGCACAAGCGTGTTTACCAGGCTTGCATTCCCTGCCGCCGGCGCAAAGTTCGATGCGATCTTGGCAGTGTCGACAATCCCCACGATCCTCCTTGTGTGCGCTGTCGCCGAGAGAGCAAAGAGTGTTTTTTCAGTGCTACTCGTCGCAAGCGCAAGACAGATGATGATGGAAGCGACCAGGATGAGTACATCATCAGAAATGGCCGTAAAAGGCTTAACGTCAACGGAAGTCCTCCGCCGCTCATCGAACGTCGATCTTACAGCAATGCACCCTTGACTCCCGGAGGTTCGCATGGCCAAGCTCAACCGTTGCGCCGTCCTGATGGCAGTAGAATAGGTCGCGGAAGGAATAGCGAATGGGGCGGTGACGGCGATGCCAATCAGACATTGGAAAATATTGAAGCTCAAACCGTCATGCGGCGCGGTGTGTTTGGTCCGCAGGATGCCCTGGATCTGCTCTATAAGGCAGCTACAGATAGGTATGTTCTACAGACCTTCTAGTCTTTGCTAGTCCGGAAACTCAATGCTTACACGAAACAGTCCTGCCGTCGAACGCGAGCGCAGAGAGAGTACTTCTTCGGCTCGTCCAACGGCCCCCAGGCCCCCACCCGAAGATACTGGCCCTTATGGCTATGTTCCCAGATCGAACTCCAGACCGCCTAAAACAGAGCAACCCATCGATCCCGAGCTCTCACGTCCCGAACTCAGTTCCCAGCCTGGATATGCGGAAGCTATCAAGGCATGGCAGCGCTTTCGATTTGTCCGCGCTGGCTGGTTTACCGCCCTCGAGGCTATCGAGTACATCGACTAGTAAGTCCAAACTTGCCATCAAATATGAGATTGTTATACTAATCTCAATAGCTACTACAAATACCTTTCTCCATTGACACCTATATCACCGCCAACTTTCAGCAACCCCGCGTCGCATGTCACTCTGCTGTATGAGGAGCCTATCTTGACTGTCACTCTTTTGACGATCGCCTCGCGATACCGTCAAATGCCTGGTACTGGCGGGCATTGTCGGTCTCATGCGATTCATGAGCAGCTATGGATGTATCTGCGCGGCATGATCGAGCGATGTCTATGGGGACAAGAGGCTTTCGGCGGTGGTTTCTGTGTCCCTCCTAGCACCAGTGCCATTTTCGATGAGTCTCAAACGAGCAGCACAGCGCCCTGGCGTGGATTGCGCAAGGGCAGTTTACGAACTCTAGGAACTATCGAATCACTGATGATCCTGACCGAGTGGCACCCTCGTGCGCTGCATTTCCCACCTACCGAGGCAACTGACGAATTGGTTTTGCCTATGGAAGCCGCCTTCCAGGCTATTACTGCTGCTGACGAGGACCCCAGCAAGACTTTGGGACCTGGCTTCGGCGGTAAAAGGATTGAGAGCTGGCTCGAGCCAGCTTGGAGAAGTGACCGTATGTGTTGGATGCTTCTCAGTACTGCAAATGGTCTCGCATACGAACTGGGTGTTTTCGATGACATTGATGAGCTCCTTCGCGACGACGCCATCACTCGACCCGAATACCAGGAGGAATCGTACCGCCAACGAGCTTTCCGAATCAAGCGTCTACTGCTCATCTATACTACACAACTAGCTGGCCGTCTTGGTTGGACCAACATGGCTCCTGCTCACCTCCGAAGAAGTGATCCTGCCCTCGCTCGATTCCGACCTAATTCAGTTGACGGGACTACACCAGGAACAAACCCCTCTTCGGTGGGCAACCACTTCAACTATGTGCCTGATCTGGAATTGGATGATCAAATTATTCACTGCTGGGCCGGCATCAGCAATGCTATGGAGATGGGTAACGAGAAGATCTTCCGCTCCCGAAAGCACACAACACAGATTATTCAGAACGGCAAATACATCAGCATTCTCAAGGAATTCGAGCCTATCTTGCGCGATTGGTGGAGGGAGTTCGAGTTGTTCCGTCTTCCTGAGTTCATCAGGCATATTTTGACGATCGAGTATCAATACGTGCGCATCTACATCAACTCGCTTTCGCTCCAAGCGGTCGTCGAGCGATGTACCAACCAAGCTCAACAAGGAGCAGCGGCTCATTCTGGACATAACGGAGCGGCAGCTGTTAACGGAGGACACCCTCAATTATCGCCGCAGACAATGATCAACTATGGGAAGCTTCCCCTTGGTCAACTCGGAGGCTTCACTGCACACGATCAGGAATACATCCGCGAGGTGGTGGAAGGAAGCCGAAATCTACTCCGCACAGTAGTCGAGGGTTTGCTGCCAGGTGATTACCTGAAACATGCTCCTGTCCGGACATATTTCCGCATTATCAGTGGTGCTATGTTTCTGCTCAAGACTTTCGCCCTCGGCGCTCCACGATCAGACGTGCGGATGAGCATTGAGCTGATGGATGCTACTGTTGAAGCACTTCGAAACTGTGTCGTTGATGATGTTCACCTGGGAATTCGCTTTGCAGACCTTCTCGAGTCTCTCACGAGCCGCCTCCGCAACCGTTTCATCCAGGCTCCTACTATGCAACAAGCTTCAGGCCGAGGACAAAGCCCTGCACCAGATGGACAGGTGCACGGTGGTGAAAACGCTGCTCCTAACGGAGAAGGAGACCCTAACTGGGTTGGAGGCCACGCGCAAAGACTTCGAGACGGTCTGAATGGGAATGGTAAGCACAATCTGCTTTGCAAAACTCATGGGAATACTGACAAAATCGATTTAGCACCAGCTCAAGCCGCAACCCATGAGGCTAACAACATCTCAGCGACGCCTTTCGACCTTTCGGCACAGAACTTCCCCTATCCTGGACAGGGTCCCATGGGTCCATCAACACCCACTGTCGTCGATAACGCCGTCGCCAATATGGATGTTAGTCTATTCGAAGACTGGAACCACCAGGGCAACGAAATGTGGTATCTACCTCCCGGACCGGCCTTCTTCCAGAACGTTGAGAATCCCTCCGTTGCCATGGGTCCTGAAGGGGTCAACGTGGGTGGTCTCGATCTCCTCGAGTATATGGCCATGGATCCCTCCCAGTTCCCTGGTTTAGATCCTTCTTCTGGACCCCCGACAAGTCATGCATAGACTGTTTCCGGCCTTTTATCGCCGCTCTGATTTGGAGCGATATCCATCTTAGTCGACTCATGTAATTGGTATCTCAGAGCCTCGAGCGATTGTGGCCATCTTATCTTTGTCTCTTGCCATAAATTGGCTTGTGCATTTCTAAGGAATTGTGGGATAATACGACTACAACAGGCAACAAGAGGTGCAGAAGCACCAGTGCCGCATTAGTAAAGAAAACGGGAGCATGGCGTAAGAACCAGTGGCGCAGTCATTATGATGGTATGAAAGAACAGAAAAGTGCTATATAAAAATATGAAAACACTGATTGGACTCTTGTCAAAAACATTCTATAACATTTGCCGACTGCAATGATTGAAGTGGAATACAGTGAAGTGAATCATCACGCAGTACATGTCACAGAGCATTAAATATTGAATGTGGGATCAATAGTTTTTCTTTCTACCTCGATCTGGTCCGTTTCAACCAGCTTCCTTTTCGCCGCCATCCCTAATAAATAGTAGAATATCATACACTGCCTATCCAACTGGTTCCTCCCATTAGCACTAGTATGCACCTCTGATGAGAATCAACAGGTTGGTGTGGGTCAAGCAACGAACGAGGCATGCTATAGATAGTATAAGGAAGAACAAACAAACAATGCTTGTGTGTAGAAAGTAAAAAGAGAAAGGTACAAAAGAAGAAAGAAGAAGAGAGCCGTCGGGGCTACGCGGGTGAGAGGAAAGGGCTGTGGTATCATGCGTACATAGTTTAACATGTGAAGAGCAGACAAGTAGAAAATTATATGAAGTCTTGTGGGTGGTGTGTAGGGGAATATGTAAAGCCGCTCATGGGCGACGAAGTGGTCCAAGGACCGAAGCATCCAACGGTGTGTATTAGACACCTAAGCCAGCAGTATACACTCTGAAACCAAGATGTTGATAAGTAGAATATCGTAAGGCCGTTAACGTATAGCAAGGCGTGGGGTGGGTTTATGGCAAGGGCAAGTGAACACTGCCATGTATATATGTAGTGGTAATCGACGAGTAGAAGAGCATTGGATTTGCTCGGTGTATCGGGCTCGGCCCAGACATGGTAGGAATTGCATCAACGCTTACAGCGCGAATGGTGTCGCATGCTTGGCATGGGCTTCTTGCAGGGCTGTGTTGTTTGTCAGTATGTTGAATAGTATGTGCGCATCAGGGAAACTTACTGCTGAGAATGTCTACCTGCCCGGCACGGTCCATGCATGCGAGCTGTACACTGCTACCGTCAACGAGATCCAGAACCACACTGTTGGGTAGCTCCTGAACCTCAACATCAGGGATGTATGGTGCTCGGAAGTCGCTCAGGTGATATCGCTTGGTACCCTGGGCAGTACGACTGCTCTGCGATGGGAGCGCGCTCAGAATGAGGAAGCCTTGGGAGTCTAGGCACATGTTGCGGCGCTTCCAGAGTAGGTTGTCTGGGAACTGCACATTGACATCACCCATAAATGAGACGATAGATGGGGGTCCAGTGGTCGCTGGGCGAACCTGCTCCTCCTGCACGGTCGGTGAAAGGACGGTTGGGGGCGTAGTCTTGCCACGGGAGCTGGAAAGAGACGAGAGGCGGCGCATGAAGCGGCCTGCCCGGGACTTCATCTTCTCACCATTGGACTTGTTCTCGTCGCCGGATACAGAACTCTCAGTGGTAGCGGAAGGCGAAAGAACATTCTCTCTATCGCGACTAATGGATGATCGGCGACTGCTAATTGACAGTCGCTTGCCCTGATGTGTTGACGGTGGGCGAGTTGGAGATTGCGAGCCCTTAGGAAGGACATCGGCTGAAGGTGATGTGAGGGACTTGCGGCGATCGTTAATGAAGTCTCGGACTACGCTGAGCGAAGACCGTCGAGACTGGTCCTCTTTGTCTCCGTCGTCCTTAGACATCCGTCGCTCAATCAAGGACTCTTTTGGCGGCTCGAGAGTGCCAGGGTTCCAACCCGATGACGCCTTTTGGTGGTCTACCAAGAGAGGGGATTCCTGGAGTTCCACTGGGTTAAACTCAGATGGATCCTTCGGGGGTTCAAACGAATGTGATGGGTTTTGGCTTGGGTCACGGACTATTCTAGCAGTGACCGAGATCGATTCCGAACCAGGAGATCCATCGTTCTCTGCGGGGTTCGCTTCGAATACAGATAGGCGACTAGCCACTGATGTTGAGCGTCCTCGACCCTTTCTTCCTGTCCTTTCGGGGGACTCATCTCGCGAACCAGATCGAGAAGGAGGCGTTCGAAGGTTGGAACGATTGAAAGAGCTGGCCCTGTCTACCACAGAAGGGGATCGGGACGGCTCGCGGCTTTTTCGCACAGAGAAAAACGCTGAAGAAGGTCTCTCCCGAGCAGAAGCAGTGGGTGCAGGACTAAGTGTCTCGCCCGTACTGGCCGAGAGCTTTTCAAGTGCTTTGATACGCTGAGAAATACTCGATCCCACAGTGCCCTTGCGAGAAAGGGTAGGACCACCGGGCTGTTGGGCGATCTTGTGCAAGTAAGCAGCTCCCCCTGAGCTAACAGATCGTGCCGAACTCGTAGTTACATCACCAGGCGCAAGAAGCTTGCCGTGAACAGGGTTCGAAACAGTTCTGGCGACAGGGGATCGTTCACTCTTGGTTGGGCTGGGGAACACCGGAGTGACTGGGCTCTTAGCAACAGTCATAGGCTTCGCCTCGTGAAGGGTCGCGCTGTGTAGTTCTTCCATCAGATCCTCGTCATCAGATAGAGTGTCTTTATCTTCCGCAAGATCTGTCTTGATTGGCTCGATGTTGGCCTTGCGCTTTTGTTGTTTCGTTTCAGATACGTCGGCTTCTTCTTCCTCGCCTTCCTTCTCCTTCTCGGTAGCTTCTTCGGTGACAATGATTGGGCTGGTCTCGCGGATTTCCTGTTGAGGAGAGCTGGGGACTGCGGCAGGGGCTTCGTTCGCTGCCGACCGCAAATCCTGTGTCGAGAATTTAGATTTAGGGATCTTCAAGGCAGCAGTTGTAGGGGATAGAGGTTCTTCTTTCTCGGTGTTGGTCGTTACTTCGGTTGTCTCGACTTTGTTTGAGATAGAGTCCGTTGTGGGTTCGGTGTCGTTTGCGGGTGTGTCTGCTTGCTTCACTGGAATGGTGGTATCGGCTTCGGGCACGGGCTGAGCAGGTGCGTTGTCGAGCTGTTCCTCATTCTCAGATGGCAGAGAATCCTTGACTGGCGCAGCGTCTATATCAGTAGCAGTCTCGTCGTTTGCGGTATTGGCCGAGATTTCGTCAGTATCGGCTTTTTCGTCTAGACGCTGATCGTGCGCATCCTCATTCTTGGGATGCAGAGTCTCGTCCGTCGATTCAGAAAGAGAAGAGGCTTTTGTCGATGAGATCTCGGGTTCAGAAGATGCAATGACGGGACTGTCAGGGTGAGAATCGGTCTGAGCAAGATCGGAAGCGTGATCGGTATTCATAGAGGCGGAAGATGTGTCAAGACCGATACCTGAGTCGGCATTCGAGATCAATGGCTGATTTGGTTCGGTCTCGGGTTGATTTTGGTTGTCCTCAGCGCGATCTGTAGATGATCCACCCTCACTGGGTCCAGGAGATTCAAGAGGCGGTGACGGGGCCCCTGCTTCGACCGCCAGATCCTTCTTCTTTTTCTCTCGAAGCTTCATGGCTTTCATTAATCTCGCCTTCTCCGGTGAAATGGTCGGTTTGGCGGGTGCAGGCGGAGGCAAGCCAGGAGAACCAGGAATCGAAACTCCAGAGCTGGTCGCAGGACGAGTGAGCTCTGTATGAACGATCTGCAGTTCGCCTTGCGCAGGCGGTGTATCCTTGTCCTCGGCAGGAGTATCCTCGGTAGTAGTACTGTCGTCCTTACTCTTCTCCTTTTTGGAACCTTTACCAAACAACTTAAAGCCAGAGGGCATCTGGGAAACGGGACGATAAGAGCCAGCAGTGCGAGGTCGGCCGTTTGTCTCAAGCGACGGACGGGGACCAAGCTTTACCTTTGGTTTGCCGTAATTATACGATGAATAAGGATACAAGTCGGGTCGCCCTGATTGCGATGACAGTCGCGGAACTGCTTCAGACTCAGAGGGTGAGACGGGTCTATCATCAGCGCCAACAAAGTTGGGAACCTCTGAGGTTGATGCGTCGGTAAATTTACTCTCCTCCGGGGATTCCGCGAGCTCTGAGTTCAGGGTTACTGGCTCTACATGCAAAGCCGGATCGTGGCTTGTCTTGGCTGTTTTGGGCCGAACATCGCCGTCTTCGTCGTCCTCAGCAACTGATTGGCGTTTTGTAGCGCGCTGCTGCTGCTCGTCCTCTTCTTCTTCCGCAATCTCCATTAATCGTCTTCGGCGCAGAGAGCTCGTAGACGATGAACTGGAACCCGAAGCGGCATGCAAGGAGCAGGCCGCCGACAGTCTGGTATCTTTGAGCTCCTTGGCGTCGGTGATTTGAAATAAGGTATCGTATGGGGAGAATCGATCGCAAACGGCGTTGAAATGAACAGCTACTCGGGCTACATTGCGACAAAAAGTCAGTTTACCAACTCACGAACCATCATGCCAGGGACAAAGAAGGACATATGCAGGGGAGGGGCGCCTGTACGGACCTTGAATAAGACGAGAGCAATCCTCTGGCAAGTACTTGATCAAGACGTTTCTCCTTCGGTATCTCAAGAAACCATATAGAGGGCTGGTTTCTTCGTATTCGGCGACATTGTTTCGCACTTCAGGCACGCCGCCTGAGCCACGGCCCAGCAGTTCGACTTCATCGCGACTCGCGTACTTGAGGAGGAACCTGAAAACTTAGCTAACCAATTCTTACCAACACAAAAGCAGAAGTCTTCCAACATACCATCCTCCAGGTTCACCGACAGCGGCCTCGTAGGCTTCCTGGACCTTTGGGTCGTCCAAGCCATTCAACGACATGGTGTCACTGTTGGCAGAGGGTCAAAGAGTAACAAAGTGAAAAAAGAAAGCGGGAGCTGAAAGCCTAGGTTTCCACCACAGGCATATGAAAAGTAACAGAGAAAATATTAATTAATGAGAAAGGAGAGAAAGGAAAAGATTAGCAGAGCAGAACAAAATGAGCTGCAGATCGTTCAACAAGATCAAGAGTCGATAACAAGACCGAGATCGTGGACGAAGACGAAGACGAAGCCAAAAGGGAAAGAAAGAGAAATGAAGCTCTCCCGAAAGACGGGGGAATCTACCAAATCAGTCGAGTAGAGTGGTAGTATAGAGCTAGACCCGTCCAGTATAATTCGGGGTCTTGCTCTTTCAGTCAGGAAACGAAGCGTGAGCCAGTGGGATGGCCTTGGCCTTGCCTTTGGTGGGTGGATGTGGATTTCCAGCAGGTGCGGGTCAAGGGGCGGCAGCACCAGATTTCAGGGGCAGCTGCCAACCTACATGGATCTAATACCGTAACCATCCATGAATGAATTTATGATAGAATTGGTTTGATTTCCAGGGCTGATTTGTTTCTTTGGATGCGCCAATTCGTCTGCCGTATAATGAAGAGGTACGCTGTAGTGAAGCCGTGATGTATCAAACTGAGAGAAAGAGCATTAATCCTCAGGAACAATGTTTGTTTGAAGAATGGAGTCGTTGTCGACACCGTTTATGCCGATCAATAGTTACTGAATCAAACGATGAAACCTGACGGTAACAAATCAGATCGGGAAAGGCCAACAACTGCTTATATTAGCCTGTTCGAATTGGGTCGAGACACTTTCAATAGACTCAGAGACTCGAACAAGAACAGGAGAGAGAATCACAACGACAGAAGGCAAGTTCTGGGCCAGGCTACGTTCATAAATCGTCACTGATATGACACAAATGTCTATTACTCGACAATCATGGTCCATCAGAGTGTAAATTCCATGCCAACCAAAAGAGGAGTTCTGCACTGGAATGCAGCATGAGTAGCGTCTTGTTCTCTTTCGGGATAGGCCAGCGCCAGCCTATACCAAGACATACATCCATCCATCTAGAACCAGCACACAAGCACAGGCGAGGCCGCCCAGTTACAGTACGACGATTGAGTTGTCTATTGTCTATTACACGATCTTCACGAGGTTGGCATGTACAGTTAGCGAAGGCAAGTATATGCAGACGAAAAGAGAAATGAATCGAAACGACATGCAGATATTACTTAGACGAGATGAGATCTAGTAAAGACCCCTGTTGTGACACAAACAAACTATGTACTCTCTTGTGCTTTTCAGCTGCAGCAAACTGCAGCAAGGCAAGGCAAAGCCTCTACTATTACCAACTCATAAGGTTCAAGGCGTTTTATATTCTCTTCCCACCTCACATCGATCGATACCTCCATGTCTGTCTATCTATCTAATCTAAGTTTTGACTTTTAAAGTTCCAATACCAGCAGATCAAAGCCACCGTCAAGCCACTTGAGCAACCGAGCACCGCCCAAAGCCCCCCCTCCCGCCCCAGCTTCTCCACTGCGGACCAACGCAATCTAAACAGCTTCTGGCGTTGATTCATTCATTAGGTCTTGTTCCTGCGTTGCCGACTCGGTAGTGTTTGAGTCCGTCATAGGAGACGACGTCAATACAGTTAGCGAAGGTCGACTAGGGGTTAGCAGAAAACATGACTTTAAGTGAAGAAAATAAGCATGCAATGAGCTTCATTCTCCAACTCATCTCGATTGTACGACACTCGTAAATTGGAGGAAATTGCTGAGACGCTCTCAATTACAGCTCAACAGTTTACAAATTGTACTGCAGTATGGTGGGCAATGCTGTAATTTGCAATCAACGCTATGGGGCTTGAAGCCAGACTAGCGATTCAGTCTTAATCTCTACTTCAACCTTAGCTAGAAGAATGGAAGGCCATGTCGAAGCTACGAGGAACAACATGTCAGTGGCCAATCGATTCAGATCCCAGCACGAATCTTGTACTCCGTATCCGTATATTGTCTGCATATCCCTAACCTATACGCGGTAAATATCCTCGGAAACTTCACCAGCTTGACACGATCATATAGTATAGCGTAGCTAACAACACCGCCAGCATCTTCAAGTAATAGAAATATTCGTTATTGATGCAACAATGCACTGTAACGACAGTGTCGTACCCCCTTTCATCGTGTGTAAGACACTGTTCAACTAACAGATAAAAGACAGCAACACTCCTCATACCCTTTTCAGCTTTGCGTGAACCGCGAAACCCATAAGAGCACCTTTGTTTGCAGAATATGTCAACACACTTTGTGAACAGGCACCCAAGGATAGAGCAGGACCAGCGTTATGTCGAAAGACATACAGCAACCCACTGCATCCATCTTCCGTTCTCAATCTTTGTCAGGTTTTGAGGCCGAATAACTAGCTTGACTTATGTATATAATGCCCTGTGTTTGATGTTGAGCATGTATTATTCCTGCCCAGGAGGCTTGTTTTCAACGGGCTTCTCTTCCACAGGCTTCTCTTCAGCATGTTTCCCTTCAGCAGGTTTGTCCTTCCGAGCTTCCTCGACGGCCGCTTTGTTCAATATAGGCACGTCGTTCGACTTGGGGTCTGCAACATGAGGGGGTTCCTCAGTTACTACGTCATCCAGAGAAGTGGGCACAAAGTCGCCTTCCTGAACTGCTACAGGAGGTTCAGATTGGGGCGCGTTGCTGGTCGCAGATACACCGACGGCGGATGCTGTACCCTCTGCGATTTTCTGTCTAGTCTCGCTGACAATCTTGTCCGCCTCACTGACTTGGGATGCTGCGCCTTCCACGTCCACCGCAGCCTCCTTGTTCTGGTCCAGCCGAACGACCATGCAAGACAGATTATCAGTACTGAAGCGGTTCAACGCATAGTCTACAAGCTGCTTCGAGGCTGAGACAGGGTCCTCTACGTTGCGTACAAGGTCAACGGCTTCCTGGTCGCTACATACGTCCCAGATCTGGTATAGTTAGCTAATGACTCCATATAGTTGCGGTAGAGGGACGACTTACTCCGTCACACGCAATGATGATAAATTCGTCACTGTCAGCCTGAATGACTGTCTCAGTGGTATACGGATGGCCTGTAACAAGCTTCTTCATATAAGCGTCGCCAAGGGCGCGGGTCACGGCCAAAACGCCATTGACACGGTTGTTGAGAATCAGACCTCCAGCAGCGGCAATTCGTTTGCCTTCGACTTCGTCGCTGCCCTTGTGGTCATAAGAGAGTCGCAGGGCCTTTCCGCCCCGACAGAGGACGATGCGCGCATCGCCAACGTTTGCAGTGTAAAGTACTCGCTGGCGTCCGCTGCCCTTCCCCTTTGAATTTGTAACTTTGGTTGCCTCGTCACTCGGCGCCCCATCAGGGGCTTTGTCCATCTCGATAGGCTCTTCTGGTTTGGCCGATTTAATGGCGGATCGATCGTTCGAAGCTCGATCTTCCCAACGCAGGACTGCAACCGCAGCGGTGCAGCCACTATTCTTAAGCGGAAGTTTTTCCAACTGCGCGTCAGCGGCCGTGAAGGCTTGATCTAAAACCTCGGGAATCAAAGCATTGGGGTTCTTGCGTATGATCTCCTCCAGAATTATATGTAGCTTTTTGCCACACCAGTCGGCGGCGAATGTACCAGCATGTCCATCGAAGATAGCAAAGTAGCCATTGTCCGACTCAACCATATCAGAAACAACCAACTCTTGGTCAGCTCCTTCAGGTTTATCCTTTGCTGGCACATCGTTTAAAGCTGGGGTTTGCACAAAGTTGTACAGAAAAGCATGCGTGTCTTCCATAGTCCGGCGGCATTTCTTGTTCCTATCTTCCCAAACACCAACACGGAACGTAGATTTGGGTCCAGGCACGGAGTCTCCAGCAGAGTTGTTATGTTGGCCCTGAGGGACGGCGAGAGCAGGATCCTGTTTGCCGAGCTTCTGGAGAGGTGTCTGCGAGCTCACTTCGGAGCCCCCACTGCGACTGCTCTGAGATGAGAAGTTGAGCGAGTTCTTTGCAGATGCCAAAAGGCTACTGGCCCGGCTACTGACGCTACTACTTCTGCGTTTCTTGTCGGTCGGACCGCCGATGTCCTGGCGAGTGGGAGGGCTGCCATTTCCGCTACGTTTTTCACCACTAGCAGCCTGGTCAGTTGTCTTGATGGGAGCTGGGGCACTGGGGCCGGACGCAGGCTCAGGAGAAGGAGATTTATCGGATTTTGAATCGCTCTCGGATTTGTTGCCCGCTGAGTTGTTGGAACTGCCGCCAAACATTCTATTCAGCAGACTTCCTCCAGTCGAGGAGAGACTGCGACGCTTGTTGCTCGCCAGCTTGTGATAGGATCAAAGTAAAGCTAGGTGGCTTGGCGCAGATCGATAGAATTACCAGCACGAGGGATGCTGTTTGATGTAGGATCCGGTTATATCGTCCTTCGGGGTCGGGAGTTTTGTAGGGTGGCTACCCGTGAGCCGTTACGGTAACAGTTATAAAGTGTATCGTTGTGGGAAACGTAAACGTAGGGGGCGGGGTGCTGGTCGAAACCAGCTTGGCGTTTATGATTCGTCGGCGCAAAGTTGGCCTAGATGTAAGAGTTAGATCGTAGGCTTTACTTTATGTCGCCAAGCATAAGTAGATGAAAAGAAAAAGAGGTTGATAAGCATATGCGATTGTAGCATGGACGGATCGATGATGTAGGTAGCCAAGCGCACAAATCACCGATAAGCATATGTCTAACTGTCTTCACTTAGGTGCAGTGGTTGTAAGACGGCCTATCTGGGCACATCAACTGACGTACGACAGCGGATTTGTAGGTGAATATCGCACAGCAATCAAGCTCCTGTGAGCATTGTAGAAGCGCAATGCTTCAGAGCGCATCGCAGGTCAGAGGAGCGTGACGTAGGCGCCACGAGGGGGGAATGGCTGCATTGGCGGGCACAGTGACATACAAACGCCGTAAACCACAAGCGCAACGGGCGAAGGCTGAAGTAAAAGGCGAGAACAAATAAGAAACGAACAAACACAAACACACAAGCGACTCAACGTTGTCAAACACAATAACAAATCAACAGATGAACGTACCTGACGATGAAGCAGGAAAGGGTAATGTACTCCAACAGGAGCAAGATGGGCTGTGGAATAGTGAGAGGAAAGAAAAGGATACCCTGCAGAAATCCTGAAAGCAGGGCAGAACCAGGTTAAGTTATGGTTTAATACAATGCGGGTAGGTGCAGAGTCGTGTCGTAGTTGATGAAGAGAGTTGGTTGAGACGTTGAATTAGTTGGGCAAGTAACCTGGGGCTAGCTGAAGTGAAGCAAACCGACCTCAAGGCTCAAGACATGGAACGGATTGGCGAGCTACCCTGATCAAAAGCCAGGGCCAGTGGGGGCGGGGGACCTGCGCTTAGTTGACCCAAGACCCTCACTGGCTGTTGGCCACTGACGTATCCACGCTTTAGTGACGTTTACTGGCTCACGAGTGCGCAGCTTAGCGCTGTGCAGACAACGGGCTGGATCTTGACCCATGATTATCGGGTAACAAAGCACTTGATCTTCAGGATAAATTAGCTCCAGAAAAAGCACATCGATTGAACCCTTTCTCTCGGGTTACATTGAGAATTAACGGGGTACAATACATTCTCTTTGTGATACAGAACGTAGCTAAACCGACTTGACCCCGAGACATCCGGGAACAGGTAATGACAGAGACTGGTATCCGCACTAACACAGAGTATTTTGCAATGGATTCACTTGTCAGATGTATCCAACGAACTGGAGTTAATTTATCCATCCATCTGCAGGATCCAGGCTCTTGAGGCCAGCCTCTAGAGCCGTAACCGGCTGTACACGTGTAACTCCGAGGTTGCCGTCGAACTTCATGGCTCAAACGGTTGCAAGTATCGTACGCTAATGAATCAGACCCAATCGATGCATAAAAGTGATGCCTTTGTTGTAGAACAAGTGCTCGGTCCTATGCAATCTCATGCTGGAAACATTCCGCATTGATCAACATGAATACAAACAAGACACAGACGCTACCACACAATCCGATATGGCCATGGCAATCCTACGAGATGTACCATGAAACATTCTACCAACCAACATTCTTTTGCAGAATCCGCAATCAGCGAATGACACTTCTATAAAGCACGGAAAAGGCTGAAAAATTGAAGTATTATAATACAGTTCTCCAGACACCAATGCACCCGAACAGATATAGCGCCGTAAAGTCGCCAATTTCTTCCTACAACCATAGATTGGTCGTCTAGCAAATTTGCTGTTGCCTTATTGCATAGTTCAACTGGTCTAAATAGACGAGAGCATTTCACCTAGCCGGTTAGAATAATATGTTCAAAACAAAACGCCAAAGACTTCCCAAACGCTCCGTTGTCCATCTACTTCCGCAGACTATCCAGTCTAGCTTGAAGGTCATCATCAACGGGGTCACCGCCGCCGCCGCCACCACCACCACCGCCTCCTACTGCTTGAGCAATCTTGCCCTCGGGTACTGCTGCGGTTCCCAATGCAGTGGGGGTTTCTCCAAGCTGATAACGGAGTCAGTAACAAATGTTGAAATTTGAGAGAAGGTTTGACTTACTGCTTGATTGAAATCCACACCGATCTCTTCCAAGACTTGTTCTACCACCTCATCACCTTCTTCTTCAACCCCCACATCCATGGCGTCGTCAAATACATCGTCCATTATCTCAGATCGTTGATCCATGATGTCGTTCTCGCGCTCAAACTCCATTGCGATTCGTTGCAGCTGGGGCAGGTTCATTTGCTTATTCATGCTTCCCAAAGCCCTGGTGGCACCCTTCATAGCCTGCATCATGTCTTCGTTCGTCCTGTATGTCTATAGCGTTGCCAATCAGTTTCCGGTCTGTCGGTCATCCGAACGCAATTATTTACCTGGAGACGCAGCGAAATCTTTTGTAGTTGACTGCGCATGCTGTAAAATTTCTCGACGTATCGCCTCGTACGAACCAAGTCCTTGGCTTGGATCTTGCAAGCTCCCATTTGTCCATTCTTGGCGCTTGTTTTGATTTGTTGGATAAGGGTCTTTTCTTGCTTCTCCAGCTTAACTCGTGTCTGATCAAGTTCTCGGATGGCCTTATCGAGCATGCGCTGGTTCTTGCGCAGACGCTCCGCAGGCGTAATGCGCTTTCCGAATGCCCATTCCAGGATCTATGCATTGAGCGAATTAGCCATCATGAGCGCGCTATGCGTTGCGCGACACCGCTGCTCTTACATTCATGGTGGGCGGGGCAGTTGTCGTGGATCGGTGAAAGATGGGGTAGTCGAAGGAGAACGTCGAGGTATCCGCAATGGAGAGGGAGGTTGTCTTGATATAGCAGAACAATAGGCTACAGTATTCGTGAGGCAGCAGGGAAATGCCCAAGCCCAGATGCGTGATATGGGTTGACCTGGCTGTGTCGTCGTCGGAAACTAGGTCTCTCTACGTAATCGGTCTGGTCTCGGCCAGCCTTGGAACCCCCGGCCCAGGATAAGATAAGAGCCCGCGTGGTCCGCGCACCGTCGCCAATCAAATCGGACATCGGTACGTAGCAAAAATCATGCAGAAGTGGAGCCATCGTTGACTGAGTTGTTCGCCTCTCTCGACACCCGACCGCCATCGTTACATTAACATTACTGATTCAAAGATATTTTCTCCCTCTTCTGTTCGTGCGAAATATGCCGCTCGAACTGAAGCTCGACGTTTCAACATGAGTCAAGACTACTTCAACGGAAAGGGCAAGGGCAAAGCCCGCATGCAACAAGAGAACGATTCAGATGGTGATCATGCTAACGCGCCGAACGGTTCCTCGCCCGCCGACTCTTCCCGTATGCAATATATGACTGTTGGCAATGGTGTGCAATCCGAACATGCTGCTCGCCTTCAGAGCATGCTCGAAGCCGACTCCGGTTATGGTGGAAGTATAGTTGGCGCCGATGATCAGCGTTCTATGGCTTCAGCTGCTGCATGGGACATGGCGATGCACCACGACCGCCCTGCGTCGGGTGCTGTTCACCAGATGTGGTATAATGCTCATCGTGCAACTCTCGGACGATCCATCAACAAAGTGCTCGAACTACTCGAAAATCTCCAAGAGATGAATGCATCCTGGCCCGCACATTACCCCTCGGTTCAGCGAGCACGCCGCGACTCCCCCGAATTTACACGACCTGCTCTCGCCCACTCGCAAACGGGCATGGACGGAGTACCATCCTCACATCATCACCCAGCATTGCGACGTTCCATGACCACCGTCGAAGATAGTTCTGCCGAGTCGAGTCGAGCCGCCGAGACTAAACCAACACCCGAGCCACGACTTGTTTCACCCCAGATTGCTCAAGAATTCTCTGTATTAAAGCTGGATCTCAAGCTTGGTGCTCTGAGCCAGGCTGAGCTTGTTCACTCGCTTGAGAAGAGTTCAATTGCGTCACTACTCGATGGAAAGATCAGCACCAGTATCAAGCATCTTATTGCCCTCCGCGAACGAATCGAGGATACCGCCAGTAAGGTTCTTATCACGGGTGATCTCAACGCTGGCAAGTCAACTTTCTGCAATGCGCTCCTGCGTCGAAAGGTTCTTCCCGAGGACCAGCAGCCTTGCACCGCTATCTTCTGTGAGGTACTTGATGCAAGAGAGAACTCGGGTGTGGAGGAGGTGCATGCTGTGCACAAGGACGTTCCCTACGATCGAAATGATGAATCGACTTACGATGTGTTCTCGCTGAAGCAACTGGAAGATATCGTTATTGACAACGAGACATACACCCAGTGCAAGATCTATGTCAAGGACAGCCGAACTATCGACGAATCTCTGTTGAACAACGGTGTGGTGGATATTGCTTTGATCGACGCTCCTGGTTTAAACTCCGATACAACCAAGACAACAGCTATCTTTGCCCGCCAGGAGGAGATTGATGTCGTAGTTTTCGTGGTGTCGGCTGCCAACCACTTCACACAGTCTGCAAAGGAGTTTATTTGGGCCGCGGCTGCTGAGAAGGCTTACATCTTCATTGTTGTCAATGGATTCGACGTCATTCGAGACAAGAAACGATGTGAGAAGATGGTTCTGGACCAAGTTGCTGGCCTTAGCCCCCGAACACACAAGGAATCGTCGGAGCTCGTCCATTTCGTTTCAAGCAATGCCATCCCTGTCGGCCCATCTCCCCCAGGAGGCCCCAGCGGTGGCGGCAGTGGAAGCTCAAGTGGAGGCGCTGGTGACCCTGGGGATGGCGACGACAAGGGCAAGGGTAAGGATGCTGACAAAGTACGAGATTTTGAGGCTCTTGAACAATCCTTGCGAAGATTTGTGCTCGAGAAGCGCGCACGATCGAAGCTTGCACCAGCTCGAACCTATCTCCTTAACATCCTGAATGATGTCAACACTCTTGCGACTGTCAACCAGGAAGTCGCCCAAGCAGAATTGGAGCGAGTTACCAGTGAGCTTAAGGAGCTTGAACCTCAGCTGGAGTCTAGTCGAAAAGCACGCTCTGAGGTTAGCGAGAAAGTGGACGCCAATGTCGAGGAGACATGCAAAGAAGTTTACGATTACACTCGCAACACTCTCAACTCGGCCATTCTCCGTTCTGGAAGCAGCCATTACGATGTGCCCTACCCAGGTATCTGGAGTGCCTTCCAATATGCCGAGGACCTCAAGGAAGCCATGCTCTCTCGTATTGCGGATTCAGTGGCGAACTGTGAGGAGTATGCTCGCGGCAAGACTGTCTATGGTGTCAATGCTATTAAACAGCTGGGTCTTCTGCACGTGGGTGACGAGTTCCAGAACCTCCAGTTCCGACCAGATGTCATGTTCCGCCGCAAGCGAGACGCCCTTGCTCGCCAGGTTGATATTCCCACCGAGATAGCTGACTTTGTCGACTGGACAACGCTCCTGCAGCGACAGGAGAAGTACGCTGGTACCGGTATGGCTTTGACGGTTGCTGGCGCCGTGGTGCCCCGGATGATCGGAATGAGCACATGGATGGACCAGGCCATCACAGCAACGAAGATTCTAGGCAACGAGAACCTACGCTCGCTTATTATCCCTGGTATTCTCGTGGCTGGTAAGTGAATTAACTACCTGATTTGAGTCCGCTTTTACTAATTGTGTACAGCTATTGCCGCCTCCGCCTATGTTCTTCAGCAAATTCCCAACTCTCTTCCTCCCCGCCTTGCTACCAAGATCTCTGAACAGCTCGCTGAGATGGATTATGTTCACTCCAACTCCGCCCGTATCTCCTCATCTGTTCGCAAGGTCCTTCGTATCCCTGCCGATAACCTCCGAGTCGGCCTCGACCAGAGTCTCAAGGATCTGAGCGCTAAGCGTGAAGAGACTATCAAGGTCAAGGGCGAGAGTGAGCGTGCTTCTCGTTACTTCCTTAACCTCGTCCGCCAGAGTGATGACCAGCGTGGCAAGGTTGAGGCTGTGGATCTCGAGACCCCGCCGCCCGGTATGCACTGATGACGAAGATATGGATGTCCAGATGAACACGAGGCGGATATACACGGGTGGGGTTGGTGAATGAGATCAAGATGAAAGAATCACAAAAAGTACGGCGTTTGATTGGGGAGGATCGATTCCATGTGTTATGCCTGACGGAAGAAAACGAGATGCTCCTGATTTTGGTTTGATATCAACTTCTCTCCTCACACCTTGTTAGCGCTCAGCAGTAAGAATTGACCATTGATGCTTCGTCCATTCTGCTATCACGAAAAACAAAAACAAAAAATGCAATAGAGCAAAAATCTGTACAATATCCTATATATTCCAAGACGACATTGATACCACGAAATAGTATTCATGAGCTATCCAGCCTCTTCTCCACGAACTTAACTAGTCAATTTCCATCTTCTCACGTTATCTTCTGACTTCACTGTGTCCACATGAGGCGCCGCAGCCTTTCTCTCTCCTCCTCACCTCCAAAGATGCCTTCGATAGGTTGTCTGGCCAAGTCACATATAGCTTGACGGTCAAGTCCGAAGTGTTGCGCAACGAGTCTATACTCATTGGACAATGGACTTCCAAACACACCAACATCATCAGTCTGTCACAACTGTCAGTTCCATCGATGTATCAGTTGTATCTCTCTGAGAACTCACACTGAGCGAAATCTTTGGTCCCTCAACTCCTCTCCAATGTCCGAAGTGATGACCCTCGAACCCGCCGAGCACCATATCGGCCTTGACATTACAGCTCAGGCATAGCTCCAAGCACAAACCTCTCTTCGCGATCTCTGTCTTGATTTCGTCATCCTCCCAAATAACATGGCCCAGACGGCCTGGCTCCCAAGACAGTAGCGTGTCCAACTCTTCCTTTGATCCGCTGGCTTCAGCTTCGGCAAAGTGCACAGTGATACTCAGCCCTTTCTGCTTTGCTTCTTTGAACACTGGTGTAAAGATACTGATTTCACCGTTGGGTCGGGCTGTTGGGTCACCACAGAGGTCCAGGCCGACGACTCCTTGACTGCGGTATTTCAGAGCAAGTTCGAGCGTGGAGTTGGCCTGCTCGGGTGTATGTCTTCGATCAATAGATAGAACCAGACGTGTGTGTAGTTGAGGGTTCTCTGACTCGAATTGTGAGATTGTGTCGACAAGAGTTGCGATATACTGTTCTGCAGAGAGGTGAGGGGTGCCGCGGGGTGTCGTCCGAAGTTCGAGGTAGCATATGCCATCGTTGATGAAGTCTGTTAGGACAGACTTTGTAGTATAGCGAACAGATTCTTCATCGGTAACAAGATTGTATATGTAGCTGCTGAAGAGTGGGAAGAAGCTATGAGCGAGGATGTTAGTGGTTTCTATCACAAAGTAAACTTCCAGTGTAAGCAACAGCAGAAAGGCAAGAGTTCCTACGTCTTGAGGTTGTAGTCATGTTTCCCTTCTGGCATTACAACCAAGGGATCCTCGAGCTCTACATCCCCTGCCTCCTTCTTCCGAAGCCATATCTCGTGGAGGGCTTGACGCGAAATGCTGCCAGTCAAATGGGCATGGAGCTGTAAACCCATCTTAGCGTCGAAACATAGGATGAGAAGAGTTAACAACCTCTATTTTAGGTAGTTTAATATAGTCCATGATTGTATGTTATCCTTGTCCTAAGGTTGCGTAGTCTTCAAGTACACTTGACAGGAAATAAGGTTAGAGTCCTGATTAGGTATGTGTGTATTGGGAGGGGCGCATAATTCCTTACCCTGCACTTGTAATCTTTATCGCCATTGTACATGCTTGGGTGATAATTCTACATTGCGTCGAAGTAAGCAAGACCATGAGCGCATTGGAATCTATTTAGACATGATTTTGACAGAAGTAAAATACAGTTGTACAGATACACTAGCCAACAGAAGAAACCACTCAATGGGAACAAGGAACAGTTCGTAGCTTAGATTAAAGCTCACACATAAGTCATCAATTATACATCTCTAATGTGACAAAATGCATGAGAAATCGCCTTTCCTGGAGATGAGATCGCAGTCATTACCAACCCCACCCGATACTTTACACCGGTAACCATGCGCCATGGATGCGTTCCGCTTCTCGTTCCTCCCAGTCCAGCCCAATTGCATCCATCATGGGCTTCCGTCGGCCTTTTGCGCCGTGAATATATATTGTACACTTGGGGAGCCGTACTTTTTTGTTTTTGCGGCCCAATAATGACTGCGTGCCCGGCAATAAAATGGCGCGCCGTCTAGAATTTCCTCACCCAGAAACGTAAGGTCGAGGTTTTTGTCGAGTTTGTGACACAAAGCTGTTTCGCTTACAGAGAAGCTTGGGCGGGCTTGCTCTCGAGAGCGGCGCCAACTTGGTCGGCGGTGCTCTGCTCGGAGCCAGCAGTCAGAAGCTCGCTGCCGCTTTGTCGCATGTTGTACTCTTGCTCCATGGCAGTGAGTTGCTGGTCCTCGGCGAAGGACAGGGCGAAAGGAACACCGAAGAAGAGGGCGGAGGTGGTGATCACCCAAGCACCCTTGCCGCTGAAAGAGAGAACGCTCCAGGCGGCGTTACCAACGGAGCTGGCCTTGCCGGAGATCCAAGAGCGGGTAGTGGGGGGTACGATATCGCGCAGGGCATATAATCGCTCAGCGAGAGTCTCATCTGAAGGGTCGTAGTCGGAGTCGTTAGAAATTTCGGAGTCTGCGGATCTAGTTAGTATGCACGATATCGCAGATGCGATCCAAGGCGCGGGGTTGGATTTTACCAGTATCCGAGTAATCCTCGTCGTCCTCAACATCGGGGCCAGCCTGAGCGTGCTGGAAGTGCTCGTCCTCGACCTCAGTAAGGGTAACCATCTTGAATAATTGAAAGGTGGGATATGTAGAATAGAGTTATTCAAGGTATTAAAGAGCCTGTCGAAGGGCTTTGGTGGGTGAAGGAGCCGCCGAAATGGAGCACCTCAAAGTTTCGAAATTGAGGAGATTAGTCCAAACTATGATCTAGTTTGAATCTGACGTACGACTTTAACAAAAAAGTCGTGAAGCGAAGTGCAATTGTCTTGATGTCTAGGAGGGTGTTGACGTGCGTCACGATTTTTTTCTTGGACGTTGGCCGCTCCAAGCTCCAGTGCCCACATCCCCGGTTTAGCCGAGAATTGATTGTCACACATCATCACGTGCTTCTTGCATCATCATCTAAACCAGCAATAGATTGATTGTTAATGAAGTCTTGAGGCAATGGAAATGAATTTATACAATGCTACATCATGATCCGTACTCGAGTTGCTTGTGCAAAGAGTCTTACCGAATGATGTTTCGAGTAAAAAACAATGCTCCCCAAACAATTTTGAGTGGTCTGGCAGTCTCAGGTTGATTCTCCAATCAGAGTCGTAGAAGGGTAACTGAGCAAGAATCTACATAGTATATCGAGCCTCGATTGCAGGTGGAAAGCAAGCAGGCAAGTCAATTGATGGCCATTGGCGAAGGTCATATCAACATTGAGGCGAAGCCGTCTATACCTCGTGATCATCGCCTATAAACCATAATTACCCGATCGCCAGCAATGCCAGATCCATGGAACCGAGATCTGTCATTTCAGCTTTGAAATGAATAAGAGATGGTTGGATTAAGCTTAGATCAAGATCGCATGGGAGCCAAGCATGACCTCTGGCGTTACCAGGAGCTCTGACAGATGCGTTTCTCCTAGGAAACGCTTTCGCTTTCGGTTCACTGTGGTGATGCTATCGTGAACTTCCGTTGTTTATGTATGGATGATGTAGTTTGAGAATAGCCTATAGGTCCAGAGGATATAGGTACCTCGGTAACAAGCTTCTGGGGTCTTCCCAATATCTGCAGCCACAGGTTTTGATAGATGGTTGGTCAGGTGTTCGCATACAAGGTTAAGAGCAGAGTTCACGATTGAGATGGGAACAAAGAAAAAGAGTAAAAACATCACTCGGGAAAATGCAGCACGCCTGGGAGGTCAAGCATACCCAAGAAGCTGAAAACCATAATATTGTTGAGTTCAAATTGAAGCGAGCCTCAAAACTCTATGAAACGTTGGCAGCCATATCCTGTAAGCAGAGACACTAGTACGTAATTTGTGTATTCCCCTGTTGCAAGGGGAACAGCACACATGACCTCCGATGGAGCTCGTCAATTGACTAAACCATTGGCAATTAAACATCTGGCATCGTGACCTATTCTCAGCCCGTTTCAAATCATTGAGGTGCAGGGAGGTTACGTATTCTATGGTGGATGTATGCGACATCGATATACCTAGGTACGGAGTACTTTCTGATCAGGCGGTAAAAAGCATGCCGGATTTAATTTACACAAGGGGGTTTTGGATTACGAGGCACTCAAGGCCAATCGTACAGGCACGAACCTCGTGATCACCACTAATCTCGTCAAAAATACCAGAGAATGCCGTGTGATGCTGTTGGTGTAACTTGTCGGACCTGTCGAGGCCGTGATAGTCGCTGCGAAGTAGCGGAGCGGCAGGGGACGAAACCGCCGATTGGAAGATAGATTCAGACATGGCCAAGCCTCAGTCGATCAGGGACGACATTGTCCAGATCTCCAGTTTCAGTGGCAGATGCAGGAAGAGCACTACACTTGTACACCACCGGCTAATCGGTACAGAAGGGAGACGTACCAAAGTACATATCGAGAAAGAGCTTGGGCCGTCGGCATCTCTGTGTTATCTGGGGAAGAGAATTCGAAGATAACCTGTATGAGCCTTGTTTGTAAGAGGCAACTCATGCCGGTCATCTTCACAGTATCAGAATAACGACCATGTACACATTATTCTATACTGAAGCTGACGCAAGGAGCATCGCCGCGAAAAACTAGTCAATTCTCCTTCTTCTTTGGAATAACCAAATGTCGGGTTTCTTGTTGAACCTTGAAAGGAAATATGCACCAGGTCACATTTGCAACCAGCACGTGTCTGTGCCGTTTGTCTGCGTAAAAAGTCAATGGACCACTTCGATATGATGAACCAAGAAAACATGGATGATAATTTACATAGAATTGATAACTAACAACGTATCCTCAGGGTTCAAAGCAGCTATGGAAATGTGCCCATAGCATATCCAATATCATAGGCCCCAACCTCGCTTGTTAGTTAGGAAGCTCCATTCATTCTATGGTGACCACCTCCGGGTGATGTTTTGAATGTCCCGGTTCATCAAAGCTAACTGTTTCCCCTCACCGCAAGACGCCAGATATGGGCTCTAATTTCTATCGAGGACTATCACTCGTCGAGGTGAGGGACATGAAGCTATCGTGACTATGCATGGGCGACCCCCGGCCCCGGATGGCACACCCAAAAAAGCATCCACATGGGTTGGCATCCATGTGGTTTGTTTTTGGCTACGTCCAGTGGTTAGTACCTTGAGGAGGCTGAAGTCAAGTACGCAGACGGTACCTGAGGATCTCCGGGGAGCCAGCAGCAAATATTCGGCCGGGTATCAATGGACGAATACCCACAAACAGGGCAGGATACTTTTAGACAGTGGAGTCTATTGCCCACCAACTGTGAATCCTCAGGGAATATCTTCGTCTAGGCGTTTCTGGGGGCCCTTCGATCAACCACTAGCTGCCGTCGTCGCGGAAAACTCTTCCCCAACATCCCACTTGGCGGCACCTTTAAAAGGTGACCGGTTAGATGCCAGCAAGGTGCCGCAGGTACCTGAAAGATACATGGACAAGATAGCTGTAACGTGTTTCGAGAAGCAGAACAAGCAGGTTTTCTCAACGGGGAAATAGAATCGACAAGTACCCTGCTGTGCCGAAGCTTGCCAGTTTGTCCTCAGGTTAGGCTAGGCGAGGGTTTGGCCTGATTGGTTGCCTCTTCGAGTCTTGAATCCAGGTGCAGACGTATCATGACAATGGTGCGTATTTCAATAATTGACTTTGGATTTCAAGGTGCATGTTATTCTGTATGTTCATAATCAATGCCATTCATAAAAAGTGATACTGAATACGAGGACCCGATGAACTGTCCCTCTGGAGACAACCGGGAATGGCGGCTTCGTGAGGACGCAAGGTGCAACTATGAGTATTGATTGGTATGTACTCTGTAGGACAGGCAAAAATAGAAACTTCCATGACCAGGTCCAAAGTGAAAATGGAAGCTTGAAAGAAGAGGTGGGTAGCATAGCATGTCACATACGGTACCCAAAGAGGCAGCAGGGTGGAGACAAGACAGTAACAAGACGCATTGCAACGGAGCACGGAGACTTCGTGACGTTCAGTAACCGTCGACAAGCGGCTGACGGTAAAGACGGGAACTTGTGTGGATGCTTCGTCTATCATAAATGGAAATGATCATGATAGACTCCATGTTGGTATTGGACGTCATAGGCAAAGGAACAGTTCTATACATCAGGCAAGGATGTGTAAGAATCTGATAGTAATAGTGGTCTGATGCCTAGACATGGAATGCAAGAAAGATGGACATGCTGGATCTGGCAGACTCTGCTATGCCTACTTGGCGATTAAATTCGAGATTCTCATATTGAACTTCAGGGTATGCTCGGTAACAGTCGTAAGTAAACGTACAATATTCATATCCAGTCTATGTATCTTGTTTAAACCTTCTAGGTCAGCTGATGAATCGATTGGCCTGTGTAATAGTAATAAAATGAAAGTATCAGATCACGAGAACTTCATTTCTCAGAATTCAACATCGTGGCTTCGTCAACAAACACGCCTCACTCGCTGAACCAGCACCAATGAATACAGTACCTAGTCTAGCCGCACACCCCTTTCAAAACGGGTATTTCGATCTGTCTCTTTTTTCTGCCAACCTCGTGACGCGTTAAAAGACCATACCGTATCCAAGCGCCGGATGCGGGGTGCAGTGGGCAAAAAACCCCAAAAAAATACAAGGAAGATTTGCTAACCAAGAGACGCCCATGACAAACGAGAAGGGCCACGAGATGGCATCAACAGAAAAGCTTGGGTGCAGTGGACACAGGGCAAGCACGCAATTCGTAGGCAATGGATACCCTTTCCTCTAGAGGTTACTGGGACGTGCGATGCAACAAAGGGAAAACGGTGGCTGTCGCGAGTGCTGCAAGATCAAGTAAATCGGGGGTAATGGAAACACGGGAGATGAGATGAGAAGCGGGCCGTGGGGAAAAAGCTTTGAAGGGTTTTTTTTTCTTCGCTGTCTTGTGCCCAGATCCAGACCCAGATCCAGACCCAGATCCAATCCAAACCGGGGGAGACTGGAGTCAAAGGGGAAAACCTGGGGGTAATAGAAATCCAGATCCAAGTCTAAAAGGCCTTGGCCAAGACCTTTTCGGTGCTTCCGGTCCTCGGCCGTGTGGGGCTCTTCCGGAGGAGTCCGGGGCTCAGCTCCCTCCGTGTGGGTGCCGGCTCCGTTCCTTGTGGGACAATGTACACATAATCGTGTTCTTTTTGCGTAACAAAACAGAATCAAGAGGGGAATGAGGAGGGGAAAGAGAGGTCAAAGCATCAACTTAGATTTTGAGGGGAGAACTGGAGTCTGGGGTATTGGAGAAAGGGAGCTCCCAGGTGAAGAAGCTTGGGGCACTCTGGACACTTCATGAGAGTCTCAATCGATCATCAGACACAACTGAGGCCAGACAAAACGAACCTATACAAACTTTACCATTAGTCGATTGTGCTGTGCAACTCAGTCTTATGCCAGAACTGCCTCTTATTCCGTGATAGCCATTGAACCAACACCTCGTGCTGCAGTCAAATGCTACTCGAGGAATCCTCGAAGCTCAACAATTGTGTCATTGTCATCATTGATGGCACGCCGGAGATGGTACCTGTACGTAAGTACCGAACAAGCGGCCCCGCGTCGGCCGGAGGAA